AAAGATATGACATTTCTCATTCACGTCTCTTTGCGGGTTTCTTGCCACCAAAGAGAGAAAAAAATCTTCGACATTGGATTATGAAATACCGCCTTGCAGAAAGTTCTTCTTATGGTAAGAAAACAAGCATACTGGGAGCATTTGGTCTAGCAGAAGCAATGTCTAGCAAAGTACCACCTTCATCTCGTGCTTTGCTCTTTTTCAAGTCAGTTGAACAAAACAATTCCAGTCACAGACAAACAGGGCCGTAGTTTCCGAACCTATTACGTTTCCTGCCATAGAAAAGCTGGTTCCTGTGATTTCGTGTATTACAAGGAGGCATGGCCTATTTCTCAGTTTTACGAGGGGAGCTCCGAGTGTAGCTTTGTTCTTGAGAAATCGATAGGGCATCCCCGAATGTCCCCTTCGGAGCACGTCAGCGTTGCTTTTGTTTGTTCCAGAGCCCAATGGCTGGGTTTGAGAGAAAGAGATTATATTTTGAGATTGAATGACTTTTTACAGTAATAATAACCGCGAGACCTCTAATTAATAAATATTACATGGTCTCATCTTTAGCTATGATTTGAACAGAACGTTGGGCTGTCAACAAAATAGAACAATTTGAAATTCGTGTATGGACAGAAAAATGGTAGTTCAAGGTTAACACACCATTAGCATAATGTGTATCGTTTCAGAGGCGGGCAGTTTCGGGCCTCCGTAATAAGATCGGTCGGGACTGAATGGGATCAGATGTAGAGATACCCGATAAAATATCTTGCCCACTTGGCAATCAAACTCTCGTCTTCAGCGAACAGTAGTGAAAAGCCTAATCGTACCACCACACACAATTATTGTTTTAGTTTTAGTAAGTGTTTTACGGCACTTGCAACACGATACGGTCATATAAGTGTCGAAGATTAGAAGAGTTACAAGAGAGTAACAAACTCAAAAAAGAAGTGGGAGAGTTTGATAGGAAAGAAGGAGCAAACCACACCAGAGCACCCATCAACCACCTCCAAACACACGATTGTCGTGGGAGGATGAAACCGATATCATGGTAACTCATTAAAAAAAAATTGTCAAGACACTACTGTTTGATCAACTCAAGCAAGGAAGACGGTCCAGGCCAGAAGAAGAGTGGCGTTTCAAAGACAACCTCAAAGCTCCCGCAAAGGCTTACACTTACAACAATAACAAGACAACTTGAGGGGACACTGCTCACAACATAGTTCGGTGGCGATCAGTAGTCTGCAGTTGCGAGCGCCGCAAAACCTGTACTAAAACTAAAACAGATCTATGAAAGCAACAAAAGTGCTGCAGCTGAGCAACACAAGGTGAACATGAAGACCCGTTTCCACATAACTATTTTTAACTGCTGGCACCATCCTCTACCCGCACTTTCCTAGTGCAGGTCGGCTTGACCAGCCATTTGCAAACTCACCCCGTTCTGTCAGAACAGAAAGGGACATTCAGTTTTTCACAACTTTAGACTCTAATTCCTAACCACAAGTGCGCAGAGATAGTTTGCAAACTGTATAAGGAGCATTGACTAGCTCGTGGGTACCAAAAATGTGATAAAAAAAGTGAGTGGGAAGGGGGCGGGGGTTAGAAGGGGCATTTCAGAGTAGCATGAGGTTTGCCACACAAAAAAATCGTCTAACAGTATTCTGTGTATTATTATTATAGTGTGTGCTGCCTGCTGATTTTTATTGAGGTTCCGCAGATCGATCTCGGCAATGGTTACATACACAAAAGCACACATTTACACACACACACACACACACACACACACACACACACACACACACACACACACACATACACACACACACACACACACACACACACACACACACGCACGCGCACGTAAAATTAAAAAGGAAAGAAAAAAGAAAAAAGAGAAGCGTGAGATTTGTCAGCGAAGGAATCAGCTTTGCTAATTTGTCAGAACCTCATCCGGGGCCTGTGGGAAATAGAGACGGGAGTTCCTCCTGTTACGGACCCGTCGCACATCGACCTCGGTGCCCTCCTCCCGCTGTTAATAAGAAACGTGGAATAGCCAGCTCTGATTACACACCCATGTGGCCTCTAATTCTTGCCTCTTAGAACACTGAATATTTACCCTCTCAGATCTCACGTCGCTGCTATGTCCTGATCACAGATGGGATGGTGTTAGAATCTTACGGAGCAACTGGTTAAAGAGGTCAGCACTTGTTTATTTGCTTATTCTATAACCATTCCCCGAGGTCGATCATTCTGCCTGTCGTCAATAAAACTCCACAGAGGCACAATACGTTGTAAGGAGCTTACCTTTGTGTCTTTTCTCACCATTGAAATAAAGAGATACTTTTTGTGTATTCAAAAAAGCAAACAAATAAAAACCCAACAAAAATTAAAAACAAAACTGAAAAAAAAAACTTAAACAAAAAGCCCACAAAAAACAAACACAAAACAAAACAAAAAGCCCCCCCCCACCCCCTCCCCCAAAGTAAAGAACAAAGACAAACACCCCCTCTTCCCCTCCCTCCTCCCCCTCTCTCCAACCCCCAACCTCGACATATATGGTTAGAGCATAAAACCATAGAATTATGGGCTTTAGTGTGCCTAGTTCTTTGACATAACTTGAAACCCCAAGCAGTTATCTCCTTAAGGAAGAGGCCATTCCCCTTTTTGGGCTGCACTAAAAAACGGACAAGGCTGCTATGATTATAAAACCAAGCGCTCTATCAAGCTGGCCTTTTTGATGCTGTCTCTTTAGGAAACCTCAGAGAGTATACTTCAAAAGTAAATAATTAATAACCATGAATAAAGCCAGCGCTCAACCTTTGTCGTACACGCATAAAGAAAACAAACGTTTAATTAGCCTCACCAAACCACCTTTTTATGGGTACGACAAAGACATTATCACTTTACAGACTACAGAATCTTTGGACCTTTTTCATAAACTCTCGCCTACCCACACCGAGCCATGGAGAAATGGCGCTATGACGAGCGGTCTCAAGAGCAGACAGGAAGCCCTTTTAAAAGTAACGTTTGGTGAGGTATAGGGTTCTGATAATGTAATGGTTCGTGCCGGATTTCCTGCTCTGTTTATGGCCCAGAAGCTACATGGCACCCGCATTAACTCACATACATAAATTGAATTAAGATGTTCGGCTCGACGGGGGACCAGATTCGATAATCGAATAAATAAAAGAGCGGAGTAGGCCCACAGGATCATGGTTCTATGTGTTGTGATGGTGGCTGTCCAACAACCCCCCCACACACACACACACACACACACACACACACACACACACACACACACACACACACACACACACACGAAACAAACAAACACATTCACAGGTACACAAACAGACTTTCACGCTGTTGGCCAGCTATATAACAGCTATTGCAGCGTTCGCAGATTGGAAACGTTTATCGTCTCCATCAACAGGATTTGGATCATTTGGAAGGTTAACTGTTTCCATTACGCCTGTCAGGACCAGCGCTCGCCAAGTGAGATATTATACCCTGATAGAAAGAAGCCGATACTCAACAGACACAGTAGAATCAGGTGCTCGTCAACTTTTGGCAATAAAGAGTTATTGGTATCACCTTAAAGCCTTTTTAGTTGCCTTGCTTCTACATACTGTGTGTCTTAGTTCAAGTATTATCAATGCAATCTAGACAATAATTTATTGTTATGTAGACATAAAAAGTGTTGAGCCAGGAACAAAATGTTTGATAAAAATTGCCCAACTTGTGGGGAAAAAAGCCTGTTTCATCATTTTCCTTATTTTGATGAGCGCCTGATTTTACCGCAACGCCCGTCATATAGTTTACGAGAGGTAATCTCATTCATATTTTCCGTGAGTAAGGCTTGGAACCTAACATGCACAACGGACGCCTTTGGGTATTCACTGTCTCTTCCATAATTGTCAGATGAAAAGCGATCAGATAAAACAAACAGACGGCTCTTGGGTAGAGCTCTCACGATGTCTATGATACTTTGTTAGCACAAGTGGAACAATGCCAGCAACCTGGCAACTGAACGCTGGCAAGGACGTTTTAATTTAAATTCCTTTTCTCCAAAAAACAAAAAAAACAAAACAAAAAAGAAGCGAATGAACACAAAGACGAACAGATACATTCAGGAAAAGGAAAACACCCCTGCTATACAATTACAAATCGCCATGAATATTTCATTTCCTTCTTGGATTTCTATTTACTCTAATCCAAAAAAGAAAACAGTGGAAGGAACACACCTTTCAAAATATTTGCCAGAGAATCTCGTCTGATTGGTAAAAAGAAAGAAAAGCGGTAGCGAGAAACAGAGAATCTGTGACGGGTCACAGATCGTTGGTTTGTTGTTTTGTTACCAGTGTGCTCAGCACAAGCAATTTGTTTGTTTTCCTTATTGTTGATTTCCAGTCTTCGTTGTGAATTCTGCTCCTGATGGTGTTTGTTTTGGTGTGACTGTTGTTCGGACGTTTGTTAATGCTGGGGGTGACTATGGTGAAATTCTAGTTGCAAGGTTGATAACCTTTTGGCAATGTGAGCCAGGTTTGTTTTCTTTATGTAAGTTTTCCTGTTTGTATTTATGTATGCATACATATGTGTGTGTGTGTGTGTGTGTGTGTGTGTGTGTGTGTGTGTGTGTGTGTGTGTGTGTGTGTGAGTGTGTTTAAGTTGAGTGGGAAGAAGGGGTGGAGTAGAGGTTAATTTATTGTCCTGATATGGAAATCTCTGTTTTAAGTGAACGTATTTTTCCGTACTGCAAGAGATACATTTATTTTTTCCCTGATTTGTAGCCGAATATTTGTCTAGAAATAATTACAACAGAAAATCGTGTGGGAAATGTAGACGTTTATTCATTACGATCGATGCAGTTTAGATAATTTAGGAGCGGGTTTCGACCATATCGGTCAAGGCAAACGTGGGTTGAGAGGGACACAACATCCTAACCTTGGAACCGGAGTAATCGATAATAATGATCCCCACCCCACAATTAAACTTGTGTCTCTTGTGTGAGACTACGAAGCGCCTAACCATTATACCACAGACTCCTGAGTTCTGCAAAATGTGAACATAAAACGCCATACATACCTCACAAAGGGATCGCACGCGTTGTCCACCCCTTGCGTCCGACTGGGCAAGTTCTTGGCCTTGATCAAGGTCACGAGAAGCTTTTCCGTCTCCCGCTCATATTCCGTGGCGAACCAGACGCGTCCGATGTGGTCAGCTGGGATGTCGTAGTGGTCATCCTCGTCTGCCACTTTGTACAGGCTCGGGTCTATGGAGCCCAGGGCATAGGCACCTGGGAGAAAGAACATCAAGACGTGAGTGATTGAGTACAGAGAATCAGGTCGATACACTATTACTATTAGTAATTTTACGCAAAAGAAACGCATAAGAGGTTGACAGAAATAGCAGAGAGAAAGAAATGAAGTAGGACCTGTCAGTGTTGTTTTCCAACCGTCATTTGAAGGAATCGAAATAAAAAGTAGGAACGTAGAAAGAAAGCATAACCTTAGCTTCACAGCTTGTGGGTCCTTTGGGAGATACCTTTGTAAATGTGCACCCGCTTATACGTGCGCCAAGGGGTTTGCGTAAGGCCTGTCGCACAAAGGGAAAACTTTCACTCGTTGCACTATCGCGAGTATGTAAATTAGGCAGTTTCCGCCTGTTTATTTCTTTCACCGAAGAGTAACATCATATTTCACAGTCGTGCGACGCAAGGATTTTTCTGTTGTGCCCGGGGCGTAAAGTTCAAGTGTCAGTGTCCGTCATTGTCGGTCGTGTTGACAGGAAACCACAGTCAGAACAATTAAGCGCGTGTGTGTGACCTGTAGGGACCGGGCGGGGGGGGGGGTGGTTGGAAAGACCCTGTGAGCAGAAAGCGGCGTGGAAAGGGGGGGGGAACTGTCCCAGGGGAGAAGGGGGTTACAGAAATGTGGTAAAATAGAGGTCACTGAACGGAATTTCCACCCCGAATTAGTTGGGAAAATACTAGCTCAGGAAGGTCGCTGATGGGAAAGGAGAAACCAAAGTCAATTCCAGAGTTCAAAGAGAGAAATGCCGTAATGAAATGCAAAATCAATTTCCCCTCGATTTGAGCGCGGGAAGAAGCTGTTCCGGGCCGCACTAGCTCCCTCATCTGCGGGAAAAACAAAAAGTCACAGGGCGACAACAGGTGAGTTGTGAGGGATACTGAGAGGGCAGAAGGTTTTGGGAAGTTCATGTACGTTGTCCTGGTTTCTCGAGAGGGTGAAAATGGGGGAGGGGGTGGTGTAATTATTGATTCATCGCTATTTCTGTAGTTCCTAACAACATGCATCTCTCTCTGTGTCGGTGTGTATTTATATCTCGCACTCTTTCTTTTCCTCACTGCCCCCATCTCTCTCTCTCTCTCTCTCTCTCTCTCTCTCTCTCTCTCTCTCTCTCTCTCTCTCTCTCTCTCTCTCTCTCTCTCTCTTCTGTCTCTTTACTCCACAACCTCTCTCCTTTCCCTTGTTTCTCTCTGTTCTCTCTTTTTCTCTATCTCTTTTATTTGAGTGAAAAGGATGTAATATGATGTTAGGAGTCAGATAGATACACTGTAAAATTACCAGTGTGGCAAGCACAATGTCTTTATGTAGTCCCAGTCCAAAAGCAGTTCCATGGAACTATAACTAATTGTTTTGATGTGTTTAACGAGAAATATCGAAACCTATTTAAGGAACTCGCTGCTTTCGTAAATGTTAACAGCCAAACATCCCTCCCTCTCCAAACAACAAGAAATAGCAACATCAACAACAAACTAATGCATAAAAAATAACCAAACAAATAAAAAAATACAAAGCAAAAAATAACATTCAGAAACATACTTTTTAATAACAACATTAGTCATTGCTGTTACATCAAATCGTTCTCGCTATCCTCAAAGCGTATGTCTTAGCGAACCTGTGCAATGTAATAGTTACCGGGAGATACATAAAATACGTCAAGCAAACAATAGTTGTGTACTATACTGGGAAAGTGAGGTGGTTACTCCATCTTCTCTAACCAATACGTATTACGGTCAACTTTCTATATTTTCAAAGCTGAGAAGGCAGAAGGTTTTGGAAAGTTCATGTAAATTGTCCCGCTAATGCAGGCTCAAAGCTGAACAAAACAGAACTAGAAAGTTGACATAATATATTTAGGGGGAATCTTGAGGTTAAAAGTTATCTTCCTGTTTTTGATTCAGGGGGGCTAAAGGAAGTCAGTGAAGATTTAATGTCACAAAATCCTACTACATTACTGTATCCTGTTATCCACCTGTAAGTTTAGACACTCTAATATTGTGCCTTGGGCGTGCGGTTTAAAAATGTTCCAATTTATCATGGCAATACGTATAGCATTCCATTTAATGTGATCCGATCTGGGAAACCTTCCGTTGGTCTCGCTGAAGACATCCCTTAGATGCTACGATTTCCTTATATAGAACAAGCATTCAGGTCTTTTTTTCTTATTTTAACACCCCAGAAATGGAAGCCTGAGAGCTGGGATGCTATTCTTTTTAAACAGAAGTTGCACCTCGCACCCGAAAAAAAACAAAAACAAAAATAAAACCCAAACCAAACCAAAACAGAACAAACAAAAGTACAACAATAAGAAAACGTTTCCCTGTCTCGCAGTGTGCCTTTTTGTGTTGAGCCATGCTCAGTTCATCTTGTCCTTTCTATTTTCACCCTGCCTTTACGTTTGAACAGCATTTTAAACGTGTGAAGCTAAGAGCTCAGAAAGATATCCATCGATAAGCCTAAACATTTCCCAGAATTTCCACACCCGTAAAATATACCCCCGATTATGCATAAAGGTTTCATCATTGGGATGCGGAAACAATAATATTTCTTCCATGACCTCGGCTGAGCCCGTCGATCATTTTGAAAAGAAAACTTCACAAGCTCCTCCATTTAGCTAGGATCAGCTTAAACTGTTATGGGCATGTTTTTGGTGTATCTATTATTTTGAAGGACATCATTTTGGTGTATCTGTTAATTTGAAGGATATCATTTTGGGGTATCTGTTATTTTGAAGGATATTATTTTGGTGTATCTGTTATTTTGAAGGACATCATTTTGGGGTATCTGTTATTTTGAAGGATATCATTTTGGTGTATCAGTTATTTTGAAGGATATCATTTTGGTGTATCTGTTATTTTGAAGGACATCATTTTGGGGTATCTGTTATTTTGAAGGACATTGTTTTGGTGTATCTATTTTGAAGGATATCATCTGTGGGTGGTTTGCGGGTGCTCTTGTGTGGTTTTGCTCCCTCTTTCCTATTATATTCCTAATCTTACCGCCTTCTTTTCTGTGGGTTATTTTTGGGTGTTTTTTCTCACTTATATGACGTATTGTGTTGCAAGTGCCGTAAAACTCTTACTAAAACTAAAACGGACGAACATCATTTTGGTGTATGTGTTATTTTGAGGGACATCATGAATCCTTACAAGTACTCGTTTAAAAGATGGAGAGCATGTTTCTTTGATTGTACTACAGTGCATATTTCTTGCAATTTCGTTTTTAATTTTACCCACGATCAGTTTACGTTGTAATGCCTTAGGTCTGTTAGTGTTTTCAGAGTACAAAGCTAGAGATGCATCTGCACGTCCTCATAGGCGTGCTCCGTAAAACCCTATACTATACACACATACACACATGCTCCAGGTTAAAACTTTCGACTGTGATAGTATAATGACAAAAGAAAACGTTGTGAAATAAACACAAGTGCACACAAAATTGTGTAAGACGTGACTTGTGCTTAGAATAAAAGATATTTTGGGTCCGCATCTTTCTATTCACACTGAGTTCCTCTCCTATTAAAAATGAGCTCAAATAAACTCTTAAAGTTAGAGGAAAGCACCTGAACGTTTCGCTTTCGTCAAAGACTAATTTAGCTCCTTTTTAAAAATCAAAATGAGGAAGGAACAAAGTTCTAAATATCCTGCATTGTACCGCTCTCCACTCTTCCTTCAGAAAAACCTAGCTGTGCACGCCAGAGTAAAATAGGTTCTCCACATCCCCTTTGTAGCGGATGCGTGATTAGCTGCAATAAAGGAAATGTGTCAGCATTTTTAATAAGTTTTGAACATACACAATGTGCGCAGGGAATCCGTTTTTTACCAGTAACCAGGTGGTAACTGTCATTTTTTTTGCGTCACTACTAGTTAGAAGATTATGTCGTTAGAGCGTAGCGTTGCTTCACTTCCTTCTTGTTATGGGGACATAACAATTAACTACTGTTAAAGAAATGTATCAGCATATTGTTAAAGTTGTGAACATCGTGTTCAATAGCTTCTGTGTGGTAACTGCCATTATAATTTTGTTAAAGAAAGGTATCAGCATATTGTAAACGTTGTGAACATCTTGCTTCTGTGTGGTAACTGCCATTATAATTTGCGATCCCACGTAATTGTACTGTTGTCACAGAGAGACAAAGAGAAGACAGGGCCACATTTGACGGAGTTACCACAGTAACCACGAAAAGACGCAGAAGGAAGAAATCCATTTTGAGCGCCCACCTACTTTCTATCACCTTCAAGGCAGAAGACCACAATAATTGTGAAACGCCATTCGTCAAAGGGCGGTCTCAAAGGGCAAACAGAATTAAGAAAACTGGGATGGTAGTGGAGAAAAGCAAAGATTGCGACAGACTCTCAGAAACAATGTGTAGGGGAAATGGTAAAGGAAGGAGATAGATAGATAGATAGATAGATAGATAGATAGATAGATAGATAGATAGATAGATAGATAGATAGAAATAGAGAGAGAAAGAGAGAGAGAAAGAGAGAGAGAGAAAGAGAGTACATGCGCGACAGACAGACAGACACAAAGCAGCAGCACACTGACTAACAGACAGACAGACGAAAGGAATGGCAGAGAGAAACTGGGAGTAGATAAAAAGAAGAGAGAGAGAGAGAGAGAGAGAGAGAGAGAGAGAGAGAGAGAGAGAAAGAGAGAGGATGAAGGAGATAACGGGGAACAGAGACGGAGACAAAGACAGCGAGAGACAGACAGAGGGTTGGAATGAAATCAACAACAAGAAAGACAGCGGGCATTTCTGAAGTGAAAAAGGAAATATTTGTGTGTGTAACTGAAGATCTTGCATGCTCACATCGACGCATTTTACTAGTCGTGCAGAGAGGGGTAAAACGTCTGAAAAAGAGAAATCGAGGTATTCGATAAAAAATTATCTCCACATAGGAATCGAACTCAAGTCTTTGGCCTGCCTCAGAGACGCCCCCTATCCAGTTCACTCAGTAACACCAGAATGAAATTATCCAGTCTGAGA